AGCAGCCACAATTCCTGCATGATTATTTTGGAGGTTATCACGAGTGGTGAGAGCATTCCAAGTGGATCAAAAAGCGATGAAGCGATAGACAGTATTGTGCGCTTTGTRACAGACTTGTGAACTTGCTTTGGTGTGAATGAAAACAACAACATATCGTTGAGTTGATTCCAAGTTACCCCAAGTGCATTTGATGTAAAATCGTCGGTAATGCTTAGCTCTTTCATAGCTTGGCCTTCGATGAAATCTGGGTGATTGGAATGSCACTTGGATAGAGGAAACTGTCCGCGTTGAAGTATCTCAGTAACTTCTTCCTTTAATGTGTGTAAGGCATCTGTGTCATCCGCACCACATAGAAAATCATTCACACCAATTGAAAATTCTGCCATGTGCTTTTCTGCTAAAGAGTGAAGACTTCGCACTGCTAGATATGGAGCTGAGGCGGTACCATATGTCACAGTGTTGAGCTGGTATGTGAGAAGATCTGCGTCTGCGGAAGCTCGYCAAAGAATGTAATGAAATTTACGATCATTTTTATTCAAAGATACTTGCCTGTACATTTTAGTGACATCTGCGGTGATATCGTAACGATACAAACGGAAGCGCAGTAGCAACATGTACAGCTCTGTTTGGATGGTTGGTCCAACTAAAAGTAAGTCATTTAGCGATGTTTGTGTTGTAGTTTGACAAGAGGCGTCGAACACTACTCGTAACTTTGTTGATGCGCTTGTAGGTTTCATTACGCAGTGATGTGGTATATAATAGTGTGGTTCATCTAATTTCGGCGCCTTTACTACAGACATGTGACCAAGACGTTCGTATTCTTCCATAAACGAGACGTACTGGGAATAAGTGTCTGGCGAATGCGACAGACGGCGTTCGATTGCCAGGAATCGGCGACGAGCGATGTCGAATGAGGCTCCAAGTGCAGCTGGATTGTCTTTAAATGGCAGCCTCACAATTATGCGTCCAGTTGTATCTTGATGTGTTGTGGCTATAAAATGACGTTCACAAATGCGATGATCAGGTGAAATAGGGTTGGGTTTCCTRTCGACAGTTTCGAGCTCCCAAAGGCGTTGCATGTTTGCGTCGATAGAGTCTTCGCGAAATAGCAGATATGACTTTGAAGGCGTATAGTGCTTCGATTGGTATCTTCCAGAAACTACCCATCCAAATAATGTTTTTTGCAATGTAGGTAWATTCGGGCCAAGCCTTATTTGACCAACAGCGAGWGCTTCAAAAAATGCCTCTGTTCCAAGCAACAGATCGATGCGTCGAGGTTTGAAGAAGGTTTCGTCAGCCAAAGTTSTATTAGCTGGCAAGTTCCAGTTTATTGTGTCAATTTCAGCGTCAGGTTGGTCTGCAATCTGGGGTGTCATGCCAAACTGGAGCGAAAGTTGAAATGCTGATGTACGTGACTTAATTGTTGTGGTGATTCGAGCTATAAGATTGGTAACTGAATCACCTATGCTGCGAATGCCAATGTGATACTTTTCTCGACGAAGGTGAAGCCTTTGTGCGAACTCATTGGTCATGATATTCACTTGAGAACATGAGTCGAGAAGAGCTCTTCCAAGCTTGTACGTACCCATGGAATCTTTAACTAGAACTAAAGCTGTTGCTAAAATGACCTGYCCGTGATCCGATRTCTCCATATGCGAATGCGTGGCTACTAGTTGGTTGTATGTATGAGGTTTGGTTGAATATGATGATGATGGTTGCAACGATTGTGAAACAGGAAGAGATGTTGGACTTGCAAGTGTAGGCAGAGTCGCGTTGTTATGATGCAAAAGCATATGATGCGTTCTGTTACAGGAGCGGCAGCGATGCTTTGACGCACATTGAGCTACTCTGTGACCATTGCTCAGACAATTGATAAAGAGGTAGTATTTCTTGGCGGCAACATAGCGTTGATTCGTGTTCATGTCCTTGAATTGAGAACAGCCAATCATTTTGTGTTTATCGCTGGAGCAAAGGACACAAGAAGGCTTAGTGATGGCGAATGATGAGTTTTGTCCACGGGWAGTAATCCGAATTGGTTTGGTGGACTCGAACTTATGGAGTGACGARGAGTCGGATGAATGCAAAAACTGACAATGGCGTTCTAAAACTTGGGTGCATTGTATCCAAGTTGGAAGCGATTTGTAGTCTAGCGATTCATTCCATTTGTTGCGAGTTTGCTGATCACATTTTCCAATAACAATGTAAATCAGCATTGCTTGTRCGATATTGGAGCTCGTGCCCAATGATTCTAACGAACTGAATATAGCTGATGCCTTATCAATCAAACTACGCAACTGTTGATAATTTGATTTATCGGCTGTTTGCAGCGTGAATARGGAGGCAAHTCCTTCCAAAAAAATCASAGTGGGATTATCGAAGCGTTCCCTGAGTCTGTCTAAAGCTTTCGGGTAGTTTTCGCTGGTGACCTGGAAGGCTCTWACGGTTTCCAGGGCTGAACCTTTAAGACACGACCACAAACAATTGAAACGTTCTATATTTGACAGCCTAGGTTCCCGAGCGACAAGTTGAGTAAAAGATGCAATAAAGTTTTTCTATTCTGCGTAATTCCCGCTAAAAGTAGGCAACGACAACCTTGGCAAGAATGATGGCGTGGAAAAAGAAGTTGGAGCTGTTGTCTCGGGGTAATTTATTGTAACGTTTCCTTCGCACGCTGGAATGTATCACGGTGGGGTGCCTTTCGTGCAACGGAAATCGTAACAGACGCCACACGGCTTCGTTGCTGCTGGCATACCGACCACCGACCAGATTGATAAGTTTGTACCTCATCTGCGGGATTCGCAAGATCAGTACTTGTAAAATTGAAAATAGCTTGATCACTACCCTTGCTTATATATTTGMAGATATATTTGATGGCGCGTACTGAACTGCATGCCTCAACATTTATGTGGGCGTTAAACATTTTTGATACAATTGGTGAATAGGGGAGTTCCCAACTATTATCAACCGTAACGTCGCTATCATTTCGGAGCTTYACGGTTGCTGTTCGACGTCCGTCTGCTGGCGCTCTTCTACGATCTGTGGGTATCTTTTAACCACAATAATATATGGACATATGGCAGTCCACGTTTCTGCCATTCGACAGAGTACATAAAACAGCGCGCTTCTTCGAACACTCGGTCTTTATTAATCACATGCATTAGTCTAAAAACTCTTGCGACTACATCTTGTCTATGTATTGCGCTTTGCCCCGGCATCAACTATTTCGGGCCTGGCTGGGTTGCAAGTAAAAGTGACGAATAAGTCAGGGCGACCATGTGTACGCACATAAACAAACGCCTCCTGAGTATATTCGTGTAAGTAGCGTGTGCTATTTACAAATGAAGACGGTAAAAATACCATGCGACCTAAGTTATTTGAATTTCAATTGGCGTCTTTTGTCACAGCGTCTTGAAGATGGATGTAATTATCTGCTCTTAGTTTAGTTTGATTTAAAGATATGTACCGTAACCTATCGCTTTCAACTTTAACGTACACGTCAACGTAAAACTGATTGCTTTCTCGTATCATCATACTGTAGACGTAAAAATCCATACATAAAACCTTTTTGTTATGCAAGGGAAGACCTGTTACAGGATTAATTTGAGGAACTTGAAAATGGTACTCCTCTTGTCTTTTWCTAAATATGATCGGATATTGCAACGCATCATAAAATTTATGAGTATCAGGTACCCTGGTTAATGTGTCATCTCGGGCCTGTAGAGTTATATCACGGGAAGCAAACTGTTCGCCTATAACCGTGGCTGCGATTTCATTTATTAACGGTGCATTATACCGCCTTTCATGTTCCCCACTTAGTGTGCGATCGGGGTGTATTACCAACTTATAACCATCTCTAGGCATTCCTTCTAGTGCTGTTTTGAAATTATTGATAAGCCGAGTATGTTCATGCAACATTGTCTGGATTTTTAAAACAGTATCGAAATAGAGTTGTCCTTGGATGGTAAAAGTAGGTGAAAATCCAGGAATTACGTCCTCCTTATCTACACCAAATGACGTCATCTGAAAGCAAGAATTATACTTTTTAATCCTGCTTAAAAATCGGCGCGATTCGGTACTGTCGTATAAAAGTAAAGACTTACGAGGTTCCTCTGGCTCGCCAAGTAATGGAAGTTTAACCTTTCCACCAGAACAGCACATACCTGCAGTTTCTTCTTTCCATTTCAGTGCTTCACAATATCTGCATTTTTTCTATTCGCTCAATGATAACCAATCGGTGATTAACATAGTCGATCAAAGGGTCATACTCAAAAGCCTCACCATTATATATCTTCCACGTACTCATTGAAAACGTACGTCTTCTTTCTGCTTGCCTTTCGGCATTTAAAAACGTCGTCTTTATGAATCTTCATCAGTCTCTGCCGCAATCAATTGCGCGTGACGTTCGGCATCTAAAACCCGACGTGTCTGATTCTGTCCCACTGTCTCAGAAGCTCTTTGAGATGCGTGGCGTTCAGCATCCAGGGTCTGACAGTCTTGAGTCTGCGTAAACGTCACAGAGGCCCTTTGAGATACATGGCGCTTAGAATCTATCATTTGCGTTTGCGTGGCATATCGAAAACAATAATTAAAGATTTTCTAAATCGGTAGTTTTAAAAACTACAACGTGAGAATCTTTTTTATAAAAACTTAGATAAAGCAAACCTAAGGTTTATAAGATCAATATCTATCGCGGGGACTATGATCAAATTTTAATTTTAGGAACTTCGATAATTTTTCGGTCTAAAACTGGTCCAAAATAGGCTGTTTTCAGAATCTGAATTTCAAAAGCGCGAAATTTTTTTAATTTTCAATTTTATTTTTTGGTTGTAGTACCAGCGATAGCTGCACTCCTACTGGTTAATAATTTATTTGGTTTTTATGTTTCAGATGTTCAGAAGAGTCAAAATCAGCAACGGTACCGGGCGTAATTTTTTAAGATAGCTTTTTTTGGACGCCATTTTSAATTAAAAATTTTTTTATTTAAGAAAGTAATATTTTTGTACTTTTCATAAGTGTACAAATAAACTGTATTTTAAATTGATTGCTTTTTTTAACCTTAAAAAAATTCAGAAAACACCCTTAATTTGAGCGTTCTAGACCCCCGGGACCCCTTAAAAGGCATTGTCATGCAAAACAATAGCATTCGAAAAGTATTATTGACACAAACATTACTAACGAAAAAATGTTTACATATAATAACCCATGCGTTCTTAGAATACATTTTAGCAACTGTTTGTACTCATATTAAAGCAAACCCAAGGTGACACAAGATGTGCACTTGAAAACAATACCACACCATGTAGCATAAACAATATGCTACATACATATGAACATGCACATGAATTGAGAATTAACAAATAAAAGCGACCGCAAAAATAAAGAATAATACGTATTTGAGTAAACCTAGAGAAATGAATGATTGGTTAAGAAAATATCTACATCTAACAGCTACCTTAACTACCTAATAATAAAAATGTAACTAAGCACTATCTATCACCATACCAAATTTCATCAAAATAAGCTCAGCCGTTTAGGCGTGAAAGAGTAACAGACAGACAGAGTTACTTTCGCATTTATGATATTAATTTGGATAATCATATATGAAAAAAATAATATATCTAAATGTCATATTGTGTCACGCTCCTGCTCCGCTGCTCTATATTCTCGATTGGCCTGTCTATTTAAATGTTCCGCGAAGTTGCGTTCCTGCTCCCCTGCTCTATATTCCGCATAAAAATAAGAGTTAAAAGCTAACAATAAATAAATAATAATATATTAAAAAATATAATGGTTATGCAAAAAAAAGCATTTTCTTGGATAAACTTGAAATTTTCTTGTATTGTTCAAAGTTTAAGCTGCACGCGTAAACTAAAGTAATCCGTTATGTTTACGCCCTGTTTATAAAATTGTTTAAAATGCAAGTCTTTCTGGGTTTTTTTACCTAGGTTTTGTTTAGTTCCTACCTATCAGTTAATGAAAGATTTTAGGAATTCATGCGAAAATTCATCAAGTTTTAGTGGATATATTAAAGCGTTAATTACAAAGGAGGCATTGTAGAGATTTTTTATAGTTAACAAGGGTTTTAAAAAAGGATAATTAAGTTTAAAAAATTAGTACTTTATATAATAAAATATGCGTCTATAAAAATTAGAGCTTTGATTATTTTATAGCAAATTAAAAAAATTTTTTTGCTCCGTATTCTTAACATAATTTTTAACTTGTTGTCTCAGTTGGTTACATGTCATATCTTACTACTTTTATTGAAAACTCAAATTGGAAAGTATAATAACCAATTTGTWTATAATATATTATTTGTATAGTGGTTAATTCTGATTACAATATATAAAAAATATTGTAGAATATTAATTAGTTTCTTTACACCCACAAACTATATTGCATTGCAGGGAAAATTGGTTCGCTATTTAATGAAGAAAAAAAAACAAAAAAATTCATGTCAAATTTTGTGATGATAGTTAGACATATAATATATGAACTTGCCCATATATGAACTCGATTTTGATTGGTCAGTTTGTATGGCAGGCCGACCTTAACAATTCTTTTGAAGACTAAAACGATATCTTAGGCAATAATCCATGYTAAATTTCATGAACGTTTTTTGTCACATATACATTCTCGTTTTCTACCTAAGCCTTTTTTTGTTCCTACCAATTAGTTAATTATGTTTACAATGTGAATTATTCATAATTATCTGTAAATTAGGGATTTATTTATTATATGTCTAATTTAATCATATTTTTGCTACTTATCTTATGTGCCCTATATTCTTATCAAATAAAAAATCTTCCATACAAATATTTATTGTGATCGGTAAGCTTATAAGGCAGTTATATGATATAATTGTCACATAAGAACTTAAATTTGATTTGTATGGTAAGTTTTGTGATCCGACCTGCAAAATTTCTTCAGCTATTGTACTAGCGTCAAATGAGAAAGTTTGTAACGTGGCTTTTACCACCTTACAATAATTTACTCCAACACTGTACATCATTTATCCTTACCATACCTCAACATAGTCACATAGTATTCACCATACTAAACTTCACCTCATTGCATTGACCAAAGCTGCGCTATGCTTCTATATAAGCAAGCACTTCACACCGACTGCGATCATTTCTTCCAGCTCGAAAGCCAGGACGGTCAGACAGCAGCAAAGAACAGTAGGCAGTGGGGATCCATAGAATACTGCACTGTACCGTACAGTCAACACCGTATCACGGAGTGACTTCTCCTCACCAGAATATAGAAGGATCACCACCTTACCGTAATTACCGAGCCGACTTCGACAAGAACCAACGCCTGGCACACCAAATCCAATCGATTCCACCTGACTCGCCATATAAATATAAGCTGGTCTGGCTGTCCACATAATGGGTATGGATACATTTATTACAAAAGTTATATATTCTTTGCTGAGGGTTCGTAGATCCCAAGGCTGACTCTGGAGCGGCTGAGCATACCTCAGCTATGGACGAAGCCGCCATTACATATGGCGCCCGAGCAGGGACCTGACTTTGTGAGTGACAGTGAAAAACATTAAACGGCCACCAACGCTCATGAAACAGGTTCGCCACACCCCCTACACAATAATAAGCATCGCAGTACATCAGCGTATAAGGCTCGAMCAGTTGGATTTATTGGCTAAARAAGGAACGATTAGTCACCGAGTGCAGGCGACACCACATCGCTGTCGAAGGGCGCACCGAAGCTGATCTCCGCAGCGAGCTGAGCGCCTGCATCCGTGCAAAGCGCCACAATAAATCCACGGAGGACCTAGTGAAAGCGTTGGAAAGGGAAATGCAAGAGRAAGGTAATGCCACCATACTTGTTCCAACCACCACGGCAAGAATCCCGAGTAAAGCAACAGCAACACGTGATGTCATCACATCGGCTGCAAAATTG